ATATAAAAATTAATTAAAGTAAAAAATATAATATTAATAATTTAAGTCATGGCAATAACGTTCCCAATGTGTTGGGAAGTTTCCACCATAAATAAAATAAGATTGATCTACGGCATCTTAGCTCCAAGTTCCCGGTAGAGGTGGGTAAGGTTTAATTTTGCTTTTAATTTCTTCTTGATAGAAAGTATAATTATATTGCTAATTGAAAAACACTAAGCTAGGAAAGACCTATAATACTACTATATAAAACTTGGTGTTCCTTACAAATAGGATAATTAAGAATTAAGAATCTCTAAATACTAATATACATTATAAGAGTATCAATAGAGCTACGTATCAATATAGAAAGACTATTCTAGAGCTTACTGTCGCTATTGGTAATCACATATATTTTACCATCCAAACCTAGCATAGGAGATCGAAGGACTTGGCGATGCAATGTCTCCCAACACCATGATGCTTTGTTTGAGTTTAAGCAGTTTGCTAGCTCGTAAATGAATGCAAGGCTTCCATTTGTAGGACAAGGGCAATACCCGAACCATCAATTCTTACTTTAGATGCCTTGCCATCATCGAGCACCTTAGGAACCATCTTCTTTTTCCCAACCATGTTCCCTTACCTTTCCATCTTATTTCTTGATGATTGAACAATATCCCTTCCAAACCTGTTTCACTTCTTCTTTGAACCATGCTTCTTCTCTTTGCCACATTAACTATGTGACTAAGAGGAATATCCCCTAAAATGGAGGCTAAATCTTGCTAACCTGAGGAATCATTAGCCACCTCAATTCTTTTACTTGCATATCCATCTTTTGTACTAGCAAGTTGTTTTCCCTTGTAGACCAACTAAGCATCATAGAGCAATTTTTGGCTGGCTTTGCCATCATCGATATGATCATGGTTCCCACCAGATGACTTAACCTCCAATGAAGAATTTGATTTATGTGCAATATTAGTCTACATTCCTACCTTCAAGGATCTCAACTTGCTATCAAACAACACCAATTCCTCAAAATTCTTTGGTCCAAAGTGCAGCGATGGTAGTCCAAGGTCACGCACCTTGATGGTACTCCGAGGTTGTGCACCTCAAGCGCACTAAACTATTCCCAACACCCTCTAGTCACCTGATGTCGCTTGAAGCACGATGAGTTCAGTCGAGTTCGAGCTCGTCCCCTCCACTCTTGGTCCATAGTAGCTCTATATGTGCACAAATCTCTCAAGAAAGTTTCCTACAATCATTGACATATATGTTCTTGATTGTCCGCGAAAAACAACACGTGGACACCCTCTTGAAGGCTATAAATACCCCGCAAAGGTCCTCCCTCAAAGGTAATTGAAACTGATCTCAAGCTTTCTTATGTCTTCTTTCTAGCAGACCTGAGTATTGCTAACTTGATCATTGGAGTGTCTACCCCAATGACCAACCTTAGGGCCTTGCAAGTTAACCGAAGAGCAAATCTGAACTGAAGAAGGATCTAAAGTTCCTTGCAATTACATTTGGCGTCGTCTATGGGAACTTGAGCTAAAAGCTTTGTTAGTGGTTAAGATGGTCAACACACGTTCAACCCAACATGGGAGTCCTCAGCAAGGTAGGGGAAGAGGTCAATTCCACGTGGTAACCCCATACCTCAAATCGTGTCATCCCCTATTGCCCAATATTAGCATATAGAAGGAGCAGGAGAGAATAACCCTCAACATCTAGAAGTGGCTCCAAATGACGTCATAACTACCTAGCTCAATGCCATGCAATAGTAGTTCGGCGTGTTTCAACTTGTACATGCACAATTATTGGCTAGAGACAACCTGGGTGATCCCTTCATCGCCCTATTAAACCCAACCAATCATGCAACCAATCACCAGCCTCAGCAAAATGCCAATTCCCTAGTTCGAAGTGCTGTTTCACCTCATCGCGAGTCCCAAGGCCAATCCTACATGGCACCTCCACCCCCAAACCCACCTCAAGTAGTTGCCTTGGATGTTTCTAAGAGGTTGGACAACCTAGAGAAAATGATGGCAGAAAATCGAAATGCAATACCTTCAACTGAATCCAGCTCCACCTCTATCCCCATTCCCTTAAACTTAAACATCCTTCAAGAATCATACCCACCCAAATTCAAGATGCCCCAATTTGAGACCTATGGTGGGGCCAAGGATCCCGATGATCATTTGCATGTGTTTTACTCTATTATGCAGGCTTAGAATGCCTCCGAAGCTTTGATGGCAAAATGTTTCCTTCTACATTGCGTGGCAATACTTGGATTTGGTACTATAGTCTGTGGCTAAGCTTGATTAGTTTATATGCCGAGCTAGCAACATCTTTTGCCACAAAATTCTCAAGTTGAAAGTTAATGCAAAAAACAACATTCGAGCTCATGAGGGTAGTTTGAAGGGAAGGTGAGACTCTGAAGAACTACATGAGTAGATTCAATGATACTGTGCTAGAAATCAATCCATTCAACCAAGCTATAAGAGGTTCCGAGATAACCTGATAAAGTATCACCTTCTACATTTGATGAAGCAAATGAGAGATTTTGCAAGTTCATTACAATGGAAGAGTATGCCTTATTCGGTAAACCCATATTGGGCACAGAAATTAGAACTCCTACATGAAGAGAAGAGGGGCAAAATAGGAAGAAATTCAAGGCTACACAGAACCAAGGTCCCATTTCTAACCTTAAATCTGATAGACCGAATCCAAGCACTTTATAGACTACCACAAAGCAGACAACTTAGACCCCATTTACACTGCTGAGGTCACAATTTTTTATGCAAATTAAGAATAAGATGAAACTCAGAAAGCCCCCACCTATGCGAAGCTTACCTACCTCCAAAGATCACAACAGGTATTGTAACTTCCACCAAGATCACAGGCACACCACAAAAGAATGTAACAGTTTAAAGTAAGAGCTTGAAGGCTTAGCTCGCAAAGGAATGTTGAATGAATACATCTCAAATAGAGATCAGCTCAAGTTTGTGCGAGAATAAGGGCAACCGTCCCAAGGACCTTGAGATGCAAACAATAAAATCAAAGTAGGTTACCAACAAACCCCACCCCCACTTGCTCCACCTTCACGCATCATTCACATGATAAGTGGTGGGCTCGAAGCAAAAGGGACAAGCTCTAAGCAACAGAAGTTGTGAAGGAGGTGAAACACCAAAACCAAGCTCAAAAGAGGAAGTTTGACGAGGCAGATTGGAAAAGCCAACCTATAACCTTCACTTCAACTGATTTAGATGGTGTTGTCACACCACGCAATGATCTGTTAGTCACTTCAGTCATCTTCAATAATTGTGAGGTTCAGCGTGCCCTTGTTGATATTGGAAGTGCTCTTGACATCATGTACTATCACTGTTTTGAAAGCCTTGGTCTTGATCCTGCTCTTCTACAAAAGTATAATGGCCCCATTTATGGGTTTAACAACTAGCCAGTCCCTGTGGAAGGAGTCATAAGGTTCAATGTGGCCTTTAGTTCAGGTCGAACCTATGTAACTCCTTCAGTTTAGTTTTTGGTTGTGAAGACGGCTTGATCTTTCAACATCATTATTGGAAGGCCTCCTTTGATCAAGATCAGAGCTATCGTCTCACAGTTCCACCTATTCATGAAGTTCCCTACACCTATAGGAGTGGCAACTTTGAAAGGCAATCAAGAAATAGCCAGGCATTACTACATGACCTTTGTTGCTTGGCCTTGGAAAGACAATGCAATAATGTAACCATCAGAGCTAACTCGACTAAAAGCCCCAAGTATCCAACAGGTGATGGGTGTAGAATTGCCAGACAATAAACCTGATGATGAGACTAAAGCCACCTCAGTGGAAAAGGTGGAGGAAGTGCAGATTGATGATAATGATCCCACCAAGAAGACGCAAATTGGAACAAAACTAAACCCGAGAGAGAGGGAAGAGCTCATAGGCTTCTTGAAGGCGAACAAGGATGTATTTGCATGGACCTCGACTGACATGCTCGAAATCCTAACTTCAATTGCAGTTCACAAGTTGAGCACTAATCCCTTGAAGAAGCTCGTAGCTTAGAAAAGACATCTGTTTGGGGGGGGGGAGGCTACAGGCCATCAAGGAAGAGGTATAAAAGCTTTTGTAAATAGGGTTTGTAAGAAGAGTAAACTATTACAAATGGGTCGCCAACCCTATTTTGGTCAAAAAGTCAAATGGCAAGTGGAGAATGTGCATTAATTACACCAATCTTAATGATGCTTGCCTAAAGGACTGCTACCCCTTGTCGAATATAGATAAACTAATAGAAGTTACATTTGGAAATGACAGACTCAGCCTCTTGGATGCTTACTCAGGGTACCATCAGGTTCACATGGCAATCAAGGACAAGGTCAAGACTTCCTTTTATGCGAGGGATAAGATCTATTGTTATGTAATGAAGCTGTTTGGGCTAAAAAATGTAGGGGCTACATATTAAAAAATGGTGACCATTGTATTCCAAACTCAAATCGGCAGGAACCTAGAAGTCTACGTTGATGACATAATAGTTAAAAGCCTCAAGGTAGAAGACCACCTAATCGACCTGGCCGAGATGTTTGACAATCTAAGGAAGCACAGCATGAGGTTGAATCCTACCAAGTGTGTCTTCGGTGTTGAATTAGGTAAATTCTTGGGATTTATGGTTTCTAAGAGAGGGATAGAGATCAATCCCAAAAAGATAAAGGCAATAGAAGAAATGAAGCCACCGAAGTCAATCAAGGATGTACAGCACCTAATTGGACGGGTAGCAACTTTGCACAGGTTCATCTCTAAGTCAGCAGATAAATGTTTACCTTTCTTCAAAGTCCTCAGGTTCATAGCTCAAAAAGATGGTGGGAAAGCCCAAAAAGTTTGAATGGACTGAAAAATGTCAAATGGCTTTTGATGAGCTCAAAACGTATCTCAACTCACCACCTCTGCTGACCAAGGCTAAAAAGGGTGAGATCCTTTATCTTTACCTTGGCATATCCAACACAATAATCAGTTCTGTTTTGGTTAGAGAAATGGGAAAGCAGTAAAGACCAGTGTACTATACAAGCAAAGTGCTACAAGCAACTGAACAAAGGTATTCCATAGTGGAAAAGGCAATTTTGGTAGTTGTTACCACAGCCAAGAAATCAAGGCCATATTTCCAATCCCATCCTATTATTATGTTGACTGACCAACCTTTGACGTAGATTTTACAAAAGCCAGAGTGCTTATAAAGTCTCATAAAGTGGGCAATAGAGTTGGGGGAATTCCAAATCACATTCCAACAAAGGTCAATTATCCAAGCTCAAGCTTTGGCAGACTTTGTAGTATAACGTACTTCTAGTAGAAGAGTTCAAACTCTGAAGTCGAGCTATGAAAACTTTACATCAATGGGTCGTCTAGCAGCAAGTGTCATGTGCCGGAGCAATGTTAATTGGGCTTGAGAATTTTCAAAGTGAACACGCACTAAAGTTCAATTTCGCGGTAACAAACAACATGGCTGAGTATGAGGCACTGCTCCTAGGACTCCGTTCAACGGCCGAGCTCAAGGTCAGATCCCTGTAGGTCTATAGTGATTCCCAGCTAGTGGTCAATCAAGTAAATTCAACATGTGACGTGATAGATCCCATTCTAGTGAAGTATGTAGTTGTAGTTTCTGAGTTGAAATGCCATTTCAAGAGATTCCAACTGACGAAGGTTTCGAGAACAAAAAATGAACAAGCAAACTTCTTGTCAAGATTAGGTTCTAACAACTCCGATGGGATGAGATCTGTCTATGTCGAAGTCCTCAATGAACCGAGCTTCCAAAGGTCAAAGGTAATGGAAATCAATACTAACCCTGAAACCCCTAGTTGGATAGACCCCATCAAAGTTTACCTCTGAAATGAAACTATCCTAAATGATAAGCAAGAAGAAATGAAGTTGTAGAGAAAGGCCTCCTGATACACCTTAATTGATGATGTCTTGTATAAGAGGTCATACTCGCTCCCTTTTCTTTGGTGTCTATGGAAGTCACGTAGGAGCTCAGACTTTGGCCCATAAAGTACTACACAAGGGTACTATTGGCCTAACATGTAGGAAGACGCGAAGCTATTTGTGGAGAGGTGCCAAAAGTGCCGACTCTTCTCACACCTCACTCATCAGCCAGCGAAGGAGCTCATTAACTTCATTGCACCATGGCCTTTTGCCCAATGGAGCATAGATTTCTTGGGCCCTTTTATCAAAGGTGTAAGGGGAGTGACGCATTTAGTTGTTGCTGTTGATTATTTCACCAAGTGGGTGGAAGCTCGGCCTCTCTCTAGGTTGACTTCTAAACGAATTGAAGATTTTGTTTTTAGTTCGATCATCTGCAAATATGGGATACCAAACCAAATCATTGCTAACCATGGTCCTTAGTTTAATTGCACATCTTTCAAAGACTTTTGTTTCAGTTATGGGATCAAGCTAGTGTTCACTTCGGTTTGCCATCCTGAGGCGAATGGAATGATTGAATCAGTCAACAAAGTTATCTTAAAGGGGATCAAGCTGAGGTTGGATCAATTCAAAGCCAAGTGGGTAGACAAGCTCAACAATGTCTTGTGGGCTTATCGAACTACATGCCGAACAATTCAAAGCCAATACTCATTGTTCCTTCTTAAGACATCTCCGTTTCGTAACTCTCGCTACAAGGAGTAGGAGAAGAGAACAGTTAGAATCCTGAGTTAGCTCCTTTTCACATTCTACTTAACTCTCAGACCTATCCCTAATTTCCCTAGTTGGACTTAGTCTTAAGTCAAAACAAGTTATAATTAAATCAAACACCTCACTTAAACTAGAAGATGAGCTCATGAAGTTACCTAATTTTGTGATGAACGAAGTGCAACACTTGGATGATTTTTGGCTAACTCCTTGAACTAGAAACTTGAACTCGGTAGATGAGAGCTTGGATGACTAAGTGCTTTAACGCGACTTCAGCAACGCTTCCCTACAAATTCAACAAGGTAAATTCTAAATAACTCAAGTTCGACTATTTATACTAAGGCCACATTTCCCTCAACAGTCACGATAGTTTGCATCCAACGACTCTAATCGCATCATTTCAAATTCGACAGTTATTCTTGTCTGTGCTTATTTATTAAAACACGTCACACGAGGACAACTGTTAGCTCATGAATTAATTCACTTTCAATTACATTTCAAACGTTTGTCCAAATCTAATGTTAACTATTTTAAGTTTCATTTAAGTGTCCTCATGCTTATTCATGATATTTTCACTTCGACTTTGACTGTACTTTACATGACCACGTGTCATGATATTTTCACTTCAACTCCAGCCATACATTACATGACCACATGTCATGATCTTTTCCCTTCAGCTCCAAACATACATTACATGATTGTGTTATGATATTTTCACTTCAGCTCCGGTCATGCATTGCATGGCCACATTCATAACACTGGCCCCGGCCATAAGTCACACAACCCTTATATCATTCACAAGTGAATGACTTCGGAGAGAGGAATAATGTAGTGATGGTAGTCCAAGGTCACGCACCTTGATAGTAGTTCGAGGTTGTGCACCTCGAACGTGTTAAGCTATTCCCAACACCCTTTAGTTGCCTGATGTCGCTTGAAGCGTGATGAACTCAGTCGAGTTCAAGATCATCCCCTCCACTCTTGCTCCACAGTAGCTCCATAGGTGCACAGATCTCTCAGGAAAGTTTCTTACGATCATTGACACATATGATCCCGATTGTCCGCGAAGAACAACACGTGGACACCCTCTTGAAGGTTATAAATACCCCCCAAGGGTCCTCCCTCAAAGGCAATTGAAACTAATCTCAAGCTTTCTTATGCCTTCTTTTTAACAGACCTGACTATTGCTGACTTAAGTATCGGAGTGTCTACCCCAAGGAGTAATCTTAGGGCCTTGCAGGTTAACCGAAGAGCAAATCTAAACTAAAGAAGGATTTGAAGGTCCTTGCAATTACACAAAGTACTCATTCTTTGCTTGCAGTCATGTTCTGTAAGGGTGAGATAACTTCTCTCTAGCCTTTTTCAATCTAAATCTAGTTCCATAATTAAAAACCACATGCCCCATACATCCACATATGAAACAAAACTTTGGAAGTCTTTCATATTTCATTTGGACTTGATGAGTTTTGATAGTTGAAAGTTTAACATTCTTAAAATGTCGCAATGGATTATTTACCTCAAGTTGGATTCAAACTCACAAAGCTTTGGTGAAAGAGTCATCTAATTCAAGAACTTTCCTTGTCCTACTTCCAATTTTGTATCTTGCTATTTCGTTATGAAGCCAATAGGGAAGGCCAAAAAGTCACACCCAAAAAGAAGATATTGAAAATCATAATTATTGGGAGCCAAGGATTTATTAAAACATTGTAGAATCATCAAGGAGTAATCAAAATTTCAAGTTGATTTTTACCATATTCTATCAACATTGTAGCTATTTAAAAACTAGAATAGGAAAATTCTCTCACTTAGTTCTTTGATCTACACAATAGAAGTAGTTTTCCATGTTGAAGTAAGTGCATTTTGTAGCCCTTTGAGATTAACCCCCTTATTTGTATGAATTTTCCCTATAAGACAAGAAGATTTAGATTCAACCAAGGAAGGATTGCAGGCATGTTCTAATGATAGTATCATATGTTCCTCCTCCAAAAGTCGAATTTGACCTAGGAGAGAACCTAGGTCATTTGCTTCTCAGCCTAGATGCCGACTACCCCTATGATTGGACATCCTAAAAAAGTATGGATAAGTTACCCATGAGAAAGGGAATGCGAGAGACTTAGACGGAATTAGATTTGTGCAATTGAAGAAAACTTGTGACACTATAATGGGAATAGATCTGTGCTACTCTACAACATAAACAAATCAACGAGGATGGTTGCATCGCAACAGGGATGCCAAAATAAGGCTTGATCAGTTGAAAGCTTACTAATCAATTGGGTGTGTGGGTGAGCAGTACTTGGGTAAAGTTGATCAATGATGGGGATGACAGTGCAAGAAGGAAAAGAAGGAGAAGGCTTTTGACTAGAAAAGGGAAACCTTAAGGAAACAGCCTAACCTAACCCTAGTTAGGAGGTTACCAGTTTTTTGGTTATAATTGAATTAATGGTTAATTAATTTAATTTTTTGTTATTAAATTTTAAAAACTAATAACCAAACTAGAAAATGGGTTTTATCAATTTTGATTATTTTTTTGAGAATAATTATTTAGATTGGTTTTTTATTTTAATCCAAAAACTATTTCTACATTTTTTAATGATTTTTAAATTTATTAATTATTATTTTGATAATCTAAATCATTAAAAAACTAAAAATTACCCAAATAAATTAATTAATTTAGTAGAAAATGTATAAAACAAATCTAAAAACTATTAAAAATTTTATATTGAACTAGATCTTCTAGTTATACTTACTCTAATTATCGGTTCTTTAATTTTGAGACTTAACAACCAAAGTTCAAATAGTTTAAGATCAATTCAGTTTAATTTTTAATCAAAAAGTCTAAAATCTAGTCAAACTCAAACTATTAGTTATAATTTTGGTCGGTTTGAGATTTTTTTTTTTTTTTATTGTGAATTTTTATGGTCATTGCTACGTCCCAGTTTAAGGCCGGCCTTACAATCTCTCATCATCAAGACTTTCTTTTCTTTTCTTTTTTTAAACGTCGGGGGAGCGGGGCACAAACCCCACACCACGAAATAAGTTTGAGAAGTCCCTAACAAGGGAAAGGTGGCTACTAAGCCACAAGGACATTCTTATCATCAAGACTTTCTTTAATAAATTTCATCATCAATATTTTAATTAAAAGATATCAACTCGATTGACACTATATCTTGTATAGATATTTGACAACAGTTAATAATTGATGTTTAAAGAATAATAATTGTTATTTTATAATTCAAACACTATATATCAATAATAGGATAAAAGATATCAATTATAGGGTGTTCACAAACATCTAAACAAAAAGAAACTAATTAGCTATATATTTGATAAGTCTCCTATCATCAAAGGTTGTTTTTTTAATGAGAAATAAAATTTCATTGATATATGAAAATTATAAGAGTTATAGAATTAACCTAACTAGAATAATATGTTAGAAGTAGTAAACTCATAAAATGCATAAAAATGTAAAATTAAATAATTTAATGTTCATATAAATATTGTAGTCAGACTCAAGTTTGAAATTTAGCAATTAAATTACATTATGACATAATCCATTTAAACAAAAGATATATTGGCTAGAGTAGAAAAATTTTAGTTAGAGACCCATCCTCAACTATGCCTTTAACAGCTTAAATAAGCATTATAACTAATTTGAATCCAATTAACATTACGTTCAAATTGTCATTCTCTTTTGATAAGAGTGAATTTCAACAAAAAAATACAAAGAAAGTCAAGGTAAAAATCCTTAAAAAAGAAGGAAAAACTTTCACAAAAGAGGAAAAAACCCTCACAAATGAAGAAAGAACTCCTACATTTAACCATTCTAACTTAACTGCTGAAGGGAGAAGGGAC